GGGTCCGGCCCGCCGCGGCTTCCTCTTCGTCTTCGTCGTGGTCATCGCCGTCTCCGGCTTCGATCGGCGGCGGTCAGAATCACTACGCTGTTCTCGGAATCCCCCGCAGCGCCTCATTCGCCGACATCAAGAGAGCTTATCGACTTCTCGCCCTCAAGGTAGGGATGTGCTTGGAAATTGTCCTTGATTGGGTTCGAAATCGAGGGTCTCTGTTGTTTTGTGATTGATTTGTGTGGTGAGGAGGAACGCTAATTCTGGATTTTGCTAGTGAAAGTGGTGATATTTGTTCGAATTAAGAGGGAATGAAATGAGTTTGAGACGACAATTGATCGATTCTACAAGTGATCACTTTTAAGACGCAAACTAGTTCAGGATTAGTTGTCGAACACGGAACTCTAGAAGACATTGTGTTCAGTTCTACAGAGGAAGTGAAAAGGTTGAGACTTGAGGAAAGAATTGGCAAAGAATCAAAGATATTGTCGCTTTGATTTACGAACAATTTTGGGTAGCAGAGTAGTTGGAGATTATGCGTTATAAGGATACATGCTTCAGGGTGATTTGGCATCTAACTGCAATTAACACTGGCAGATAGGTTGATCTGGAACTCTGTCTTCCTGATCATCGAGATGTTTTAATGCCTCTCTAGCTCATGTTGGGGATTATGTTTGATCATGAACATATTGCATTGAACGTTTTGTCAATTTCCTTCTCGCTTATCCTTCTTCCTTTGATCGATCCTATTAACGCTTGGTCTGAGGTTTGTTCTTGTTTCCCTTAGTTGCTTGGTGTTCTTTAAGTTCTTTAGCTTGTTCTTCAAATCTGCATGAGATGCAGCTAACAGAAAGTTGGCACCTCTGTTGCAGCTTCATCCTGATGTGAGCAAGGACTCCAGAGCTGAAGAGCTGTTCAAGAGCATCCGCCATGCTTATGAAGTAAGGATTCTTCTGAAGCCTCTTTTGCCCTCCTTAACTCACATCTAGCAATACATATTTTGAGGTTCCTGACTGAAAGCGAGATAAGAACGATCGATGATTCTAGTTTCTTTACCAGAACCAGTTTTGTGGAATCTATCGTGATGTTTGCAATGAGGGCAAGGTTCTTTGAATAGAATCATGATGTGGTTACCTAGTTTCTCCATGAATTGCAATCTTCTGTTAGTTCCGCGTCCAATGGATTGAGGATTTCTATTTTTTTTCCATCTGTGTTTTTCAAAAGGTGCTATCAAATGAAGCTACGAGGATTCAGTACGATCGAACTCTTAAACATCAAGAAAATTCCAGGTCATATAGAGTGAAAAGGCACTACAGCCCCGAAGATGAAGATGAAGATGCAGTGAATTACTACAGCTGGTCTGAGAAAAAACGAAGATCTCGGTACGAGAGATTTTATGGATATTATTCTACATATCCAAACTCACATTTCTACTGCGATGAAACCGATGACAAACCGCAAGAAAAAGACACGGCAGCTCGAGAGCGAGGCTCCTTTCTCGAAGTACTGAAGTCTGCCTTCTTATCGATATTTCTCCTGAACGCCCTCGGTAGCCAAGTATCTCTCACATTTAGCACCGTCATGGCCTTGCTCGACAAAGAACTGGACACAGGTTACAAACTCGGGTACTTGATCGCGTGGGTATTGGGCGGGAGAGGTGGTGTCCTCCTCACGCTCTGCCTCGGGTTTGCCAGCTGGGTCTGCGGAAAAGCCAGCAGCAGCGTGGTGGTTCTGGTGGTGGTGGCCATGTGGGTCGGCTCCAATCTGGCTAGACACGCCCCTCTTCCACAAGGTGCCCTTCTCACCCTTCTCTACATGTCTATCAAGCTTCAATCTGATTCAAGGTGATTCCTTTTTCTGTGTCTCCACCACGTCTTTCAATCTCAACCTAGTTGTACATATATACGTTCTTCAATGTGTATATTTGGCATTCAGAGGTTTATATTGTATCAATCTACCTTGTGTGATGACAAGTCATGGGACATGAGAACATTGCGATGGGAAAGAACAGAAATTGCTTAACAGCACGTCTTTCTCATTCTTACATCAGATCTCAAGTGATGAAATTACAGAATTCAGATCAAAACAACAACCAGAGACACACCAACATCCATCCAAGTATTGATAATGGTTCCTAGCTTTCTGCACAAGCAATCAAACGGATCTTTGAATCAAAAGTACATTTCTTTTCCCCCTTCAATGGCTTTTTCCCCTCATTTCCTTCAGATTTCTCCATAGATACCTTCCGCTCGCCATATCCACGAACACCCAGAACCCGTTCTCCATCGTCTTTTTAGGGAAAAAAACGGAAATTAGAAACCCATACCGAAAAATCACGAGATTGAAGGAGAAAACATCGAAATTTTGGCGTACCCTTTTGAAGTTGAATCCTCGTTTATCCTTCTGTTCGACCTGAGACTCGCCAGAGATGGCATCTACGGCGGATTCGTCCGACGAACTCACCGTCCTCCACGCAAAATAACCGGCAAGTACGGCGGAGAAGAACACCAGTAAGAACCTCAAGGGACACATATCGTGAGAGAAAACAACAGAAAGGGCAAGACGCGAACGAAGATCGAACGTCGAAGGAACTGAATTTCTGGGTTTGACCCACGAATTGGAGACAAAAACAGAGGATCGGACGAGGTGGTGCTAGAAGTCCAGAGAATCAACAGTTAGGGTTTAATAATTCGACAAAAAAGGGGAAAAAAAAGAAGCAAACAAAAGAGAGAATTTAAAGGCTTGTGGTTTACATTTCAATCCATCTCCCCGCGTGAGAAGAACAAGGAGAGAGAACGCGCTTCAATTCGCCGGCGATGGAGATGGAGAGAGAGAGAAGTTGAAATTTGTCATATATGTATATATGTCAATAACATAATAGCCCCAATTATTATATTTTCTATTAAATAAGTCAATTTGTGTTTACAATTTGTCCACCAAATAATTAAACATCTACCAAATGAAATACAAGTGTTTTAGCTCTAATATATATTAGTTAAATAATCTGGAAATTGGTTCCTGTTTTACCCTAATCGTTTTTTTTTTGTAAAACGGTTTGATTATTTTGTTGCGAAATTTATTTTATTTGAATTGTAGCTTCTCAAAAAATCAACCAAATACTTTCAAGTATGCTTCCAAAAGTTACAGACTGGAAATAAATAACATTCAATTCAACGGGCTTTTTGTACAAATAAGGCAAGGGCTCTTGTGCAAATATTATGTAGTTAATGGGCTTTTGCACAAATACTTCGGGAGATGGATAAGACGCATCCACCAACTCCACCACCACTGCTACTGCTATTATTATATGGTAAAATTAGTGATGTAAAAAGGGCGGGCTCGGACCGACCCGGACCGGCTCGTCTCGAGCCAGCTCATTTTTGGCTCAGCTCGTTCGGCCCGTTTTTTTATGAGCTAGAAAAACTCTGACCCAGACCAAATTGTCCGAGCTTCGAGCCGGCTCGCGAGCCAGCCCGTTTTTATCTAATTATTCGATTTTTTAAAAAATTACATAAAAATTAATCATTTAAAGTCTACGTAACAATAATATTTTGAAGTCATACAATATAACATAAAATATTTAACATAACAATCCATAAAAATATATCTAAATCAAGAAAAATTAACAAAACCAAACAAACATAAAAAAGTATAATACACCAACAACATCAAAATATAACAAAAAATATACATCAACATCAATATGAAAGTTTCATACACCAACAACATCAAAATATAACAAAAAATATACACCAACATTAACAAATCATGAATTTTAATTTGCTATATAAACATAAGAAGTGAAGAAATTAAAGTATGAAACCCTAATATTTTTTTAATGTCGATGAGCGGTGGTGTGTAGATGCCTCGTGCGAATGTCAGTTGCTTTCGTCCCGATGCTCGTTCGGCCCGTTTTTTTTTGTCTTTTATTTTTCAGCCCAGCTCGATAAAAAACGAGCCAACCGCGAACCAGCTCGCGAACTTGGCTCATTTTGACATCACTAGGTAAAATGCATGAACTTGGATTTTGTCAAACTTATACACAAATAAATAATTGGAATAAGTCTTTGAGATGTAGTTCATGGCATACATGTACATCATATACAACGGGTTTCATATATATATATATATATATAATAAAAAACATCTAAATTAGTAAAACTTAATCCAAATTAGGGTGATGAAATATTTATCCGGTTCAAATTCAAACGTGACTTCTAACCTTCGCTGGGATGAAATTTCGGGGTTCCAAATTTAACCCTTTTACCATTGCACTCATCCTTCTTCTCCAAATATACATCACCGTCATAACTCGAATTTGAATCCTCGTGTTTGCGACGTCTAGTTCTCCATGCATCGAGAACCGTATCGTTGAACCTCGAGGGGACAGCTCGAGTTCTGCCACGAGATGACTTAGACACCGATGGAGCAGACTTGTAGGAGCCCAGCTGAGATCCTTCTTCGCTGGTCAAGGAACCTGAGCAACTGGTGAGATCGTCGGGTTCTCGGCACGGGTGATACCCGCTTGCCCTCTGCCGCTTCTTATACACCCGAAATTCGTCCTTTTTGCTTTCGTAAGCAATTTCCGACTCAATTTTGCACCGCTTCAGATTCTGATTCTCGAATGTCAAGGTCCGATTCAAAATCATATCCTAATTCTTGCCTATTCGAAACAATTCAACGCAAGCGACCATTCAGATTCCGATTCTAAAACCCTAATTTCACCAAACACAAAAATTGAAGTATCGCGATTCGCGATTCAAGGGAAAAAACGTGAGACTCGTCAATTCCTCTGGAAACTCGTATCTATCAGACGAAAAGACCCGGAGAACCGAATGCCATACCCTGGCTCCAGCCCCAAATCCAAACAGAAATCAAAACCCGCGGAACTCGCGCGTTTCCCCAGTCCTCCCCCGGACGGAACAGAGCGCGAAGAATTCTGACAGAAGAAATTGCGAATCTAAATCCGCGAAGCGAAAGAACTGACCAATCTCCGAATCCCCGAGAAAATCAATTGGTTTCCGGACGAGACGACAGAACGTAGCTCCTCGTAATCGACGGCGTTGGGGAAGAGGAGGAGAAGAAGAAGGATCTATGTGGGGTTTGTGTTTTTTAAAAAATGGTTAAGATCCACTAGAGGTGGGTTGCCTTAATGCGTTCAATCACAAGCTAGGCCCAAGGGGCCGCTCCCGTCCCTGTCAGGGAAGATGCCAACCATCTCTCCTTTTCTACGAACACGATATTTAATTTTTAATTTTGATTAGTTGGGGCGACAGTCTAGTTGATTATAAAAAAACAGTAAAGATATTTATTGAACATTTCCTCCCTATTCTACTCTAATTTGTAAATGGGAAAAAGTTTCATGGGCTTCTCGTTTTCTTACGTTTCATGGTCATGGGCCTCTCATTTTTTAAAATATTGGGCATAGTTGAAGCCCAAATAATTCAAATGTTTTTATTTTTTTTGAAAATTTCGTATATACCTAAACTTTTACAAAAATCTTAAATAAATATCTAAATTATAAAATTTCTATACAAATACCTAAACTTTTCTAGAATCCTACATAAATACCTAGATATCTGAAAAAAAAAATTTAAATAAACTTAAAATCTATTAATAACATCATCTATTTTATTTGAAAATATTTTTAAATTTGTATTTATTTTAAAAAAATTCAAAAATCTAAATTTGTATATAAAATTTAAAAAGTTTAGGTATTTATATAGAAATATTATAGTTTAGGTATTTATATAGAATTTTTATAAAAATTTAGGTATTTGTGTGTTATTATTTTTGTTAGGTTCATCATTAAATTCATTTAACTAAAATAAAAGAAAATCTAATTGCGAATTTTATCCTCTTGGACTTCCACCGTGGAATGACGTGTAGGTTCTGTCTAGTGCAGTTGGCTTCTGTGTTTGGTCTAAAGTCAGACATTTACATTGAAGCTATCAACATATGTCTTTCCACAAGTTTCAAAGTTACATCATATGCAGACTAGATAAATTCAAAAAGAGAAGGGAGAGTAATCCTAAGGAAAATTTATGTACATGAATCAAACAATAAAATGCATACATAATAACAATTAAGGTTTAAAAAATAATTAGAATGATTTTTAGATGAAATTGATTGAATACAAAATTAAATAGGTATTCAATTTTTTATTTTTAATTAAACCGAATTCAGAGTAAAATACACGAAATAAACCGTCTATAAACATTCCGGAAACATTTATGTTTTTTGGAAATTATTTTCATAATATTTACTAATTATATTCCAAATCAACACCTCTAAATATCTGTTCCTTCTGTAAGTCGCTCTTAATTGACCCTCTTAGATTAGTAAATCAACCATTCGATATGTTTTCTAGCCTTAGTCGCTGATTTTTCCGATCATTATGATAATTAACAATCTTTCAGTTATATATATATATAATATATATAATCAGGTTGAATTATAGAAAACTAGAAATATACACCCAAGAAATACGTACATATATACGCACTCAGTCTCTGTGTTTGTATAGATACTTATATACTCACACGCAGAGACTTATCCGTCACTTTCTCACATAATTCTGATCAAAACCCAGAAAGAAGAAAAACAGCACAGAAGAAGCTATGAATGCCTTAGCGGCAACCAACAGGAACTTCAAACTAGCATCCAGGCTTCTGGGTTTGGATTCAAAGCTCGAGAGAAGCTTGATTATTCCCTTCAGAGAAATCAAGGTCCGATCTTTATCACTTTCTAACAATTTTTCCCCTTCTCTTACTGTAATTTTTCTCCGATCGCTCAAGTGTCTGAGAATCTACCCAATTTCTCATGGGTCTTTCTGAGTGTTCCTCTAAGACAATCCAGTTTCTTCCGGCGCCGACACCGAGGTTAAGGCGGTTTTCTTCCGAAATAACCCCTGTTTTCGGGTCATACCGGTTAATCGAACCGGATCGGTTTGGTTTCTGGATTTTGCAAGGAGAAAAATTGAAGCAGATTCACGAAAATGTCGGTTGTTATTTGGCGTTTTAGCTTCCTTGTGTTTAATCGATTGATACCATGTTATTTAATTTTGAAAGGTGGAATGTACCATACCGAAAGATGATGGGACTCTGGCATCATTTGTCGGGTTTAGAGTTCAACACGACAACGCAAGAGGTCCCATGAAGGGTGGAATCAGATATCATCCCGAGGTTTGAATTTGTTAATATTTTCACAAAATTTCTTGTTCTTGTAACGAGTACAAGAACAAGAAATCAAGTTTTGGTATTGGAATTTTATCGGTATGGTTATAGCGAACCGGAATTTGGTATGAACCGCAGGTGGATCCGGATGAAGTGAACGCCTTGGCTCAGCTGATGACATGGAAAACAGCGGTGGCCAAGTTACCATACGGAGGAGCCAAAGGAGGGATTGGCTGTGACCCTAGCCAGCTCAGCATTTCCGAGCTCGAGCGTCTGACCCGCGTTTTCACCCAGAGGATCCACGATCTCATCGGGATCCACACCGATGTTCCTGCTCCTGATATGGGCACTGGTCCTCAGGTTCGAGTTTCTTTGAAGGTTTCCTCGATGTTCCTGAAATTTATTCGTGAGAATTTGCGGGTTTGAAACGATAATTTTCAGACAATGGCTTGGATTCTTGACGAGTATTCAAAGTTCCACGGGCACTCGCCTGCTGTTGTGACTGGGAAACCAATCGTAAGCGAAGGATTCGATTTGGATATCGAGTTTCTTGAAATGTGATATCGGTTTTGGATTCCCTGAAGCTAGTACCTGATTTTTCGGGCGTATGTTTGAGCAGGATCTCGGTGGAGAAGCGTCTTCTCAGGTCGGAACATTGTAGCTTATGTTTTCCTTTCGGTTCTTTTTAGCGGATGATGACATGATTCCATTTATTTATAATGGTTTAGCTCTTGGGTAGTCAGTTCTTTTTCTTCGGGTATACTGTTATGTCATACTGTATCTTTGTCAATGCCTTGGTCTGTTGTTTCTCTTCCGTGTCTTGTTCTAGTTCTGGGTTTCTCGTCTTTTAACCGTCCGAATCTTGTACCTTGTTGCTTCGTGATCTCTGTTTTTGTCGTGTACCAGCTGCCCAGGGAAAAAAAATCGATTATGATACACAAGTAGTACACAGATCCGAAGGAATAACTTTCATTGATCTCCGTCGCGTACGAACTTAAAGAAATTTGTCGCGTACGAACTTAGGATGCGTTTCCCCGCAACTAGTTTGTGTCAGTTCCCGAGTTCCAAGAACATGGGAATGTCCGAAGGAATAACTTCTCCCACCATTTTCTCCCTTTGTTCTTGGAGTTCTTTAACGTTGCGTGACGTCATTCGTTGGTGATTGATTGAAGTTTAGACCAAGTTGATAAAGTATAGTCCACCAAACAGGTTTTCAAGAGTTTCTGTTTGGATACTTCTGTATATACCATAATACCGAACTTCTATGTACAAAACACCAGAAAGGATTCGACTTTTGTTTTTATGACGAAAAGGTCGAAACTTGGAAGTGGATCGACAGATGTGAGATGTGGGTTTTTACCGGAAAAACCTAAGATTTACTCTATACCGAAGTTGCTATGTACAAAGCACCAGAAAGGTTGCGTCCTTTTGGAGAGAAAAGGTCGAATCTTTGAACTGGTTTTTACCAGAATCTGTCTTTGTTGACGCTGAGATAACCGGACATGACTTTGCCGCCGGTGTTCCTCATGCCGTCGATGAGGAAACACCAAGTGGAACCCAATGCTCCGATGAAGAAATCTGCCTCTGATGCCATCAAGAAGTTCACCAGCGGATAGTTCGTGCTCGTCTCTCTCCCGAGGCTCGCCTCGTATCCTGCCATTGACACGTTCCTGACTTGCCTCTTCACTTTCTTCGTGTAGTAGAATCTCCATTCCGGGTATTCCTCCATTCTCTCTATGACTTCCTGCAAACACGGTTTTTTTTCTAGATCCCGAAAATGTCTACATTACACACGTTTACATGGTTGGTGAAATGTGCAGAAAAAACCTGCATTTCGGTAGAAAGCCATATGCTTTTGAGGTGTGGAAACCGGGCTCTGATCCGGTCGGCGAGACGCATATATTCGTCTAATGCGACGATCTTCATCTCGCAGGCTTTGTCACCCATCCGGACGTGCACGCTTAGCAATGGCCGTGGAATCCATGGCTTGTGATTCGACCAGACGTATTCCTCCATTTCCGACCTCGAGCTCTCCTTCGCCTCCTGCATCAAGAACGCCTTCTTCTGGTGAGTGGAAGAACGTTGAATTCAGGCATGTAACCCGGAAACGAAAAACATGGGAAAAGGACGCGCCTTTGGCCAGTTTCGGTTGACCCCCGAGAGAACGAGCTTTGCAGCTTCAAACCCGAATGCAGAGTGGCGTTCGGCGTTCATCAGACCGCAAGTGTACTCTGTTTGGAATCTCATCAGGTATCTCACTGCCTGTCCAAATCCAAAAACGTGTTTTTTTTTCTCGGTAAGACTTACTCGATCTGTCTCGATAACGGGCCTTTCATCGTGTTTTTTTACAGGTTTTACCTGAGCTCTCCACCATCGCCGGTCCATTTTCCGGTGAACCGACACGAAACTTCCATTGATCTCCGTCGTGGGCTTCATGTAATTCCAAGGTTCGCCCCATAACCTGAAACATTCCGACGAGGTCATGACAATGCAAGAGCAAGAACTTGATAATAATAATGTTCTTTCAAGAGCCTATACCTCGGTGTGCTCCCCGACCATATCTCCTTCGAACTATAGTTATGTTTTCTGGTCACTGTTCCCGTCTCCCATGCCTCTTTCCTTCTTACGAGCTCAAATGCACGGTCTCGACACTCTCGAGACGTTTCGGGTAAGAAGTAACACGACCAGCTCGCACGAGACGGACCTTGCAGGAACAAGAATGTAAGTGAGAAACCCGAGGGTGCACGATTTCATGGAGTTTTGCTTGCTTGATTGATACCTCTGCAGCCATCATGGTCTGCTCGGTTGTAGTAATCGGTAACGAGAACCCGATTTTCCTTCACCGCAATGGCGAGAAAACCCGTCATCCCGGCAATCTGAGCTCCGATGCCGAAACCAGGCGGTCTTTCCCAGTCGACTACGAGGAACTTAACGTTCGGATTCTCGCAGTCCGGCGGGTGCTGATGGATCCATAAGTCGCGTTGCACTTTCCTCGTCAACGGGTAGTTATCCTCGTCCGCTCCATCGACCTGAACGCAATCTCCCGTCGGGAAAACGGCGAAACAGAGAGAAGGGTAAACGTAAAAAAAAAGGGTTGAAGAAAACATACATACCCAAGGAGGATAAGCACGTTCGGCTTCGGACAAAGCTTGATGATGTCCCCCCTTCCAGCTTGTCCATGGCGGGAACGTCTCGTTCCCTATCCGAGTATCCAAACGCTCGCTCCTGCGTTTGCTCAGCTTGCAATTCTCCAGATGTGGAGCGTTGGGGACATTAGAACGGTTCAACCCTAGTTTCTTGAAGAAGAACACCTCTCTGTCATCATGTTTCAGTTTCAGAAGCTCCTCCCAAGCTGAGACCAAGAGGTTTACTGAATCTTCTTCCTCTGGTTCGAGTTTCTGTTCCGTCGGTTTAGGGCTACGGCCTATGCTTCCGACCATATCTACACGACATGAACACAACCCAACGGTCAAAACCTGCAAAAAACATCGATTTCAACTGTCTGATCCGAATCAAGGGGGAGAGGCTGACTGACTGATGGACTGAGAGGAGGAACTGAATTGGACGGCGGAGAAGGAAATTCCGGCGAGTTCGAAGCCGGCGAGGGAGGTGATGGCAGCCAAGAAGAGTGAAGTGAGGCAGATTCCACATAGAAACCCAACCACGCAGATTTGGCATGGAAATGAACTTCCTAGCTTCATCGCCTTCTCTGATACCACTCTCTCCAGTGTTCTCGTGCCGTTTCCTTCCATTTTCTCTCCCTTTCTGATTGAGATTTTCTCAGCAACCAAACAACCCCTTTGATTACAAACAAACCCACTTGTTTCTCCTCAGGAGATGATCATCATCTTCTTCCTACCTACAATTTTCTCGAGAAACAAACACACTTTTCCCTTCTTTCTTTCTTTATCTAGCCAACCCAACCAACTAGAAACCGAGAATCACATGCAATCAAATCCCTCTCAGCTTTTTCACTCTAAAATAAATTAAAATGCTTTGCTTTGATGCCAATTTGTTGTTTCTTCATGACGTGGTCCATCTTCCTATCTTCTCCTTCCCTGCGGCAAAGAAAAGAACAAAAAAAAAAAAAAGGAAAGCATCACTAAAAAAATTCATTCCAAATTTAAAAAATAAAATAAAAGAAAACCCAGTATCAAAATCTGATAAACCTTCGTAAATTCTCAGTCTTTTTAGCTAGAGATCCAATCTTAAACTTTGTTTTTTCTCCTGAACATGGAAAAAAAAGGGAGAGAAGGAAAAGGTGATAAACCCCTTCTAACGGATTGTTATATAATCAAGGAGATATCAGAGGAGAGAACCATAACTGTTAGATACTATCTGATTTTTGTTTCGTTTTCTAAACAGAAAAAAAAAAGATACGATTTTTATTTTTTGTGGAAATCATAATTTTGAACGTAAAGATGAAAACTTTACATTTACAAAATATATATATATATATAGGAACAGTTCAACAGCTGGTCCGAAAACGAGACATGCAGGAAAGAACCAATTGGAACAAGACAAGAATTCCATTTTACAAAATCATTATTTTTACACACATATACACACGTATACCTTATTTACGTGTATGTGCAACAGATGTCGAAATTTGCTGTGCCGAGAAAGAAGAACTTTGCCGGAAACCCAGAAATGAGAAATTTTCCCAGGAAAGGAAAAGAAAAAGAAAGCGTTGAGAGACTCAGGAGACAAAAACAAAAAGACGAGCCAGGTTTCTTAAACATGTACCAAAGATTCATATAGTTTGTATAGTATTGTATTGTAGTGTATTAAAATTTTATATAATTACACATTTATTTTTAATATTTGGCGGAGTAATTAATAATCTATGATGCTTGGAAAGGAGTGACGTGGGGTGAAAGTATAGTATATGATATGACACAAGGGATAATATAAACAATAATATTTGCCTTTTCTATAAATCTTTGTAACCACACTTAGTTGTAAAGTGTGATTACAAGATTTTAAAAAAGATGGTTCACGGTCTAATATTTTTCACAATGCATGATTTTGGGTGAAAAATATTCTGAAAAGTAAGATTCGCCATACCATATATCTCCGGAATGTCTGCCCTTTGAATGAAAAGATAAATTAAATATTAGTTACAAGGCCAACGATTTTATTTTTTCCTTCCATGTGGTCGAATATTATTCAATCTCCCATTAATGCAAAAAAAATATGGGATTGTAACCCACAACTAAATAGTCTTTTTGTTCGTCCAAAAATATGGAATGCATTTTTGGTCGTTTCGGGTAAATTGATATTTGTATTTCATATAATTCGAAAGCAATCATTTTCCATTATAAAAGTAAAAGTTTTCTGTATTATTTTATTTTTAGTTAGTTGAGTGATTAATTAGGAATCGAATACTTTTTGGTGGGCTCCCACATTTTATTATACATATGAAAAAGACGGGCTCAAAAATTCATAGGAATTGCGTCTAAAGGAAGGACAATCTTTGTACATGGTACCAACAAGTCTTGTCAATGACAATAATAACACATATTTATATCTGATAAGTTCCATTTATTGAATATAATTGACTACACAGTCACACACACACATTAGTTCGGAATCTTCAGGGGCAATAATTGTATCAAACATAAGGATAGCGTGAGCAAGTGAGGTTTCCAGAAAAAGGAGGGGTCGTAAATGCAAATATGAAGAGAATATAGGATGACGTGGCCAAATCAGAACCGTCGACGCCCCACGTCGAATGAAGAGTCGAAGCGTTTCGCGAATGCACTTGGTGGGGCCGTCGGACCACGAGACGGCTGTGGAAAATCCCAGCGAAGTACTTTCTCGCGATAAATCAAGAACCACACGATATTTCATTTTAACGCGATATCCTCCTTCATCTCGTATCATCGTTACTTGATTATTGGCATTATTAATATTATCATCTCATCTCAAGTGTATGCGGCATCTTCCAGCCCACATACAAAAATCAGAACATAAAAATAAAACAGAAGTATATTTTAAATTATGAATTTTTGTAAGACCCTGAGAAACCTGTTATGGGTCTCCACATATTACCCTTGTGTGTTGGGCTGAGGGGGCCGTTTGTTAGGGTTACCAAGAGTTTCTTGCAACACAAGAAACATCGGATCCCGACACTTGTAGAATTGACAAGGCATAAAAAACTCGACAAGCAATTAAGAGGTGCTCCCATCCGAATCCTAACCTCATTCGCCGGCGTGAGGCAGCGCGGTAGCTTGTTCTTATGTGTCGTGAAACAGCCTTCTGATCTGATCCACGTTCGCCGGCGTCAATGTCACCGGGCATCTCTTGTACTGTTTCATTTCATAACAACCAAAATAACATCAAGAAAGATTAACCCCACAATACCACTTTCTTTTTCTTTTTTACCAAAACTTGTATCATGTTCTTTCATACGACAACCCTATCCATCTTCTTCCACTATTCTCCAATTATCTTTTGTCCAAATGAATCCTATAAGTGTCTGAGAGATTTTCAGCTAGGGTTTGCGGATCCTTGTTTCAATACTAGATCAGGCTGGCTGGATTCGTCCAGCTAGGGTTCAGCAAATTCGGGATTGGAGAGAACTCACCTTTGTGACATACTTAAATACGCAAGAGTAGCAGAAAACGAATCCCGAGACTGTGACAACTGATGGGTTTGCACGGTTCTGCAAGCATAACGGGCATGCGGCTCTGTCAGGTGGTAGCGGGATACCTTCTTTGGCCACCTGTTGGAAGAGAGAAAAAAAAAACACTGTAAAGTTGACAAGCCGAAGACGTCTCCTTTAGATTCAGGTGTTAAAGGTATATAACAAGCTTCCAACTTTATTACTTTCGGGGGTGGAGGAGGTGGTGGTGGAGGGTACACGGTTGGAGCTGATAATCTCTCTTCTGCTGACTGAAACCACCACTCCATCATCTGCAACACCAAAAGGACAATAAATATTAGGATGTGAATAAAGCTCATCTCCTTGAAAATCTACGGGATGCCATACGGATGTAGCCAGGTCAACGAATGAAATTCAAATTCATAACCCTTAAGATGTAGTGAAAGCAGAAAGCCTGACTAAGTGACATAATGAGATTGAACCAGTAAATACACTTCAAACCCAGAGACTTCCACAAAGAGGAGGGTAGTACAGTGAAATTCAGCAGGTGTACTCACTTTGAAGATAAAAACTGCCGCAATTAGACCTGTTTGTGCATAGTCAAGTACTGCATATGAACAGCTAAGAAGTGCCCCTTGTACTGACTATTTCAAAATCGAGAAAAAAAAAACTTGATCAGTGGTTATGTCTCCAAAGGTTTTATAGAATTTAAAAACCAGACGACTAATCATGAACCAGTTAGATTACAGATCGAATAGAAGATAAATTATACCCTTAACCAAGGGGGACCAGAAAGTCTCTCACGCTCACGGCTTCGTATTTTTGAAATTCTTGAAGATGTATCCATCTAACTTGACATCAAGAAAAGGAAAGATAAGAGTTAGTTAGACATCACTCCTGAGTGCTCACCATTTTAGGTCTTTTTGCAGATCCACTCAAAGAAGATGGTAAAACATGTGGAAAGGAAATCGAATGAGAGAAGAAATCTATCAGAAAGTATTGCCAAGTGGCTTACCAGTTCTTGCCCTGTAGCTCGACAAACTTGAATGCCAAGAGCTTGCAGCCCCAAAGAATAAAACCCAGTAGCATCCAGAAGATATAGGAGCTGATAAGTGAATGATAATCCTGCACAGTATATCTCAAATCAGCATATATAAGTTAACCCCAAAACATTCTCCAAATCAATAGGAACTGTCATATCAAATGAATGACAGTACCATGCATATTTTTATGCAAGGTCATTCTCCTCTGAATTTAAGTGCATAGCCTAGAGCATATTTTTATTTTAGGATAAGGCAGACTATGACTCCCATTAGACACTTTGAACGTAAAAAGGGCATCTCTTGCTACGACCTATACAAGATTAACTAGTGACTGCTGATAAACATGCAGGGAATCGTCTACCAAAGGATCAAGAAACCTCCACTTTTCAACATAAATTTACATTCACCTTCTCCGGTTGCATGTATCCAAGGGTAGCAGGCAGCTATAAATTTCTGAATTTTCCTAGCCAATTGTAATCTAACAGAAACCTCTTCGTTTGCACTAATATCTCTTGGAATAACAGATTCCTCCACTTCAAAGAAGTCAGCTTCATCAAATCCTTGGCCCCCAGTTCCCCATAAACTTGCTCGAAGCCTGGCTTCCCTTTCTTTGTTGTATATGGCATGCAACTTTGACTTAAAATATGGTAATACAACCTGCGTAGGCACATCAGAGAGCCAAATCCATTACGAATTCATCAGGTTCATTCTTGACTGAGAAAAGTGATAATCATTAATATCCCTTCTGCCTGGATAATTCTACCCGCAAAGACAACAAAAACCAGCAGACCCATCTCACAAGGAGAAATATGCATTAACAATACGAGTTTCACAAGGACATTGGCACCAAAATAGTCACGAAAATCCTCTCAATTCAATATCAGGGCAGAATTCAGGATTGGACAGGCAATTTTTTTCACTCCAGATGCGCAATCAATGCCTCAAAGGAAGAAAACAAATCAATAGAAACAAGCATATGAAGAACCTTTTGAAGCAAAGCAACTTAACAAAGAGTTCAATGCAGAAACGAATTCAATTTGATGTAACCCTCCGGCACAAAACCATAACAAGAGAAAGGAAGTCCGAAGTCCAGGAGAACATAGTATAGTACCAACAAGAAATCCTATTCACATCATATTTTTTACTTTGCCATTAGACAACAGAGGTAGGAAAGAGTCAGCACCAGAAAAACTGCGGAAAGGATCCTCTGCCGCTTTTCTAACCCGGAATGTTGAGCTTCTTTGCCGGAATCCTTCCTTACACCATCCGTTTTCAATCTCAACCTCACCGATTTCCTCCTCAAACCATACAACGATTCAGCAAAGGAAGCATCTGAAACAATTCACACACCTAAATTATGAGTAGAAAACGCATCACTCCCTCAACCCATAAAGAAAACCCCCAACATTTCTACCTGTAGTTCGTAAGCTATGTCCTTCGAGAATAAGCATCAGAACAGCAAAGAATTCGTCCTCGTAGTCTAAGATTTTATGAAGGAAAGGTCGTCTCAGCGCAAAAACCTAGAATCACAAACCACGAAAACCTAAGAATTTGATGGCTGGGAACCTGGACGCCAAACCAGGAACGGAGAGAGAATGAAGAAAATTAGGGTTTGTTTATTTACGCCGAGGGAGTAGGTAAGAGCGGCGCGAAGACTGGCGGGAAGCTGCTGAGCGGCAGCCATCTCGAAGAAGGTGGGGCGCGTGCCTTCACCTCCCACCTGAAATAGCATCTCCTTCTTCTTCTTCCTCTGGTCACTGATGGCTCCGTATGGATAAGAAGATTGGAACCTTCACTTCTACTGAGTTGCAGAGAGAGAGAGAGAGAGAGAGAGAGAGAGAGAACGCACTTCAAGAGAACGGCAAGAATCATCCGTCATCGACAATTAGAGAGATATAATGCAGAGGAAATTTGATCAAATTTATACAAAAAGAAAAAAAAAAAGAAAAAAGGAAATTTGATGGAATGCATAAAAAAAAACTCTCTAACATGTTTTTTTTTTCGAGAAAAAAAACATGTATTTTTTTTTTTATCTGCAATCTAAACTGACTATTAGTAAATTATTTAAATTAATTTTAAATCTGTTATTCGTTACCTAAAATATCTGATTTTTTTTTTATAAAAAAAACTTGTTTACTATCTTTTGCATAGAAAATTATTAAAATCACTAAAAAATTATGATTGATCTATTTTTGTATAAAATATAATAATGGTTAGATTGGAGATTATTTAGACAACAAAATAATTTCGCAAAATCTGTTTTTTCTTTTCATTTTTTTTTTAGTTTTTACACGATTTGCGAAGAACCTATAAATTAGGGAATTCTAATTTTCATGGGTGCAAGCAAACTGCAATTTCCATGGAGAGAAACAAAAGCAAATACAATATGTACAGCATCTGCACACTTCTTTTCATCTGTCTCAGCAGTTTTCGCAGGGGGCTCCCAAAAGTGACTGCTTCTAAACCAACAAAAAACATATTAAAAAAAGACCAAGTCAAAGCCTTCTTGTTCAACCCACCAAACCCTACCTTAAGCCACAAGAAAGGTCCTACCCGCCTTCTTGGATTCTGAGTTCGACCAGAGATCATCGACCCCACAACTCTTTTTAACTTCTAATCTTCTCTGGCCCGTTTCTTGGACGGGGAAGAACTGGATCGATCCTCATCCGCCGAGCTAAAACCATCCCCCTTCTTCTCTTTCCGAGATGCGACGTTGTCTTGCCTTGGTTGTGACCCTGAGCTGTCTGATTTTTTCGGGGAAGGCGATGACTGGTCTTGTAATGGAGCCGAGGGATCATCGTCGTCATCATCAGGGTTTGGTCCCTTGTTCTGATTGTCTTGCATCTTTTGTTGTTTCTCAAACATCTTCTGCAGATACCGTCCTTGTTCTTCGATCTGCAGCTGCAACTTCCTCTGTATCTGCATAGATTCAGACCAAAACCCGACTGATGTTGCCACCCACTCTACTTCTCAGTTGGTAAACCGGGCCACGAATCAGGACAGAATCATACCTCGAGCTGCTCATGGAGACGTTTCTGAACTTCCATCTGTAATCGTAAAGCTTCCGTGATTCCGATGCTCCTGGAAGAGAAAAAAAGGTATAACAGATCAAACAAACGCCGTTAAAACACACATGATGGAAAGCTGTAACAAAGAAACAAAACTATGTGCTTACGTTTTCAAGTCAAGAGATTTAATATCTTCAATGGAGGTCAGCTTCTTCTCTGAAGGTTCTCCTTCTGCCCAACAAGGAAACGACATAAGATACGTTTCTTCCGCAAAATTCTTTTGCCATTTGAGGCAAACAATACTTACAAACCTAACAGAGAATAACCAAAGCCTGAATGAATGAATGAATGAATGAATGAATGAATGAATGAATGAATGAATGAATAAGATGGCGTGTTCTTCTTCTTACTGATAAGGTTTTTTGTGCAAATTGATCAGAGAATTGATTCTTTAGATGCTTTATGCATTAAATCTTTCCCAAATTTAAAAATAGTTTACGAAAATAGACACAGTCCATACCTGTACCTTCTGAGGACTCGGGCTTGTACCTAGCTGTTCTGTATTTCTGGAAGCGAGCAAAACGAGAAAGAAGCTAAAGGTTAACAGATGAACACAGCTAGAGAAATTTCGATGAAACGTATGGATGGATGGAGGGATGAGGACAAACCTGCAAATGGCTTTTTACATGATATATGGTCAATCCTGGGTTATTCATGAGCTTCAAAACAGCCTTAGGCGTGGCTCCTATTGTTGCAATAACAAGCCCCAAGAACACTAAGTTCCACAATTTAACAAGAACCAACACACCGAGACTAATAAATTTGAAGGCACAGGAAAAAAAAGAAGAAGAAGAAACTCTTACGCACGTTCACTACCACCAAGCTGATTGACAGCTTCAACAAATGACTCGTGAAGTTCTGGTGTCCAGCGCATCCGCTGCTTCAACGGTGGAGCACTGGATGATGAGTTTTTGCCGGAAAATTGCTCCCCAGATGATACTACCGTCTGATGCTGCTTAATCTTTACCTCTTCCCTCGGTATGTCGGAAGATTGTGGTGATATCTGTCACATATCATTATATCGTTATCTTCATCGAATATATAGAAAAGAAGTGCATCTACTTGGTTGAACGAGAAACTGGAAAGTTGACAGAAAGGGATTAAGGAAATGCTCTGTTATATATATATACACACACATATACATATATATGGAACAAGACAAGTATATGTATCGTATATGGTGGAGAAACCAACCTTTGAATCATGATTCTGAAGACTAGGATCCCCAAGAAGTTCAGACCAATTTGGTTCTAGCCCATCATCAACAGAGATCAAATGATCCGCCCACTCTTGCCACTCACTTTTCTTGTGGAGGTCCTCGGATGAAACCATTCCTCTACTGCTCTCTGCTGGTGGATTCTGAATAGGGACATGGTCAGGGAAATCAAAGAACCCCTGCATCGGATCGGCACACCAGGGCATATCTTTCTGCTCTTGAGAGTGACTAATCAGTGACTGGGATTGTATTTCCAAAGGACAATCTTGGATCTGCCCTTCTCCAGCCACGCGAGACAAAGCTCTCTCTCTTGGCATGGTAGAAACGGAAGGCTGCGTTTGAGAGTTCCTTTCATGTGACGAGACTGATGAAACATGCATACCACTGCAGAATCCAGAGGAAGGTGAAAACAAACGCCCACCAGAATCTCCACCAGAGACCAGAGGGGATGCCTGACAGGGTACAGGATTGTTCATCGGTTCCTGTACCGAGGGAACCCAGAAAGAGTAAGGCAACTTGTTGTATCTCTCTTCTAGAGTAGTAGGAAGAGCTGGAAAGAACGAAGACATAGCGGCTGAGAAACCGAAATTGCTAGCAAGTGTCATACAACAAGACTAGTGTAGACAGCAGCACTCCAACCAAATCAGACCAACCCATACAATTCGACTATAAACATCAAAATCGTGGCCCGGAAGCGCGTTAGCTTTTCAAGGAGGGACA